GTTTGGAGAGACGTGAGGGGAGGGAGAGAGGGAAGGAAACATCAGTGTGAGACAGACATCGATCAGTCACAAAGCCCCAACTGGGGACCTTGCCTGCAACCCAGGCATGTGCCCTGACCTGGAATCGAACCGGCAGCGACCTTTCAGTTCACAGGCCAGTGCTCAATCCAGAGCCACACCAGACAGAGCAGAGGTGAAAGTCCTATTTTTTAAAAGATTTTATTATTTATTTTTAGAGAAAAGAGAAGGGAGAGAAACATCAGTGTGTGGTTGCCTTTCACATGGCCCCCACCAGAGACTTGGCCCACAACCCAGGCATGTGCCCTGACTGGAATCTAACTTGCTACCCTTTGGTTCACAGCTTGCGCTCAATCCACTGAGCTACACCAGCCAGGGCTGAGTCATATTTTAAAGTATTTTCTATGTCTTACTAAAGGGACTGGACTTGAATCAGAAGGAAATGAAGAACCACTGGAGGGTTTTAAGCTGCAAATTGGGATTTTCAATGTTTCATTTTAGAAACAAACACTTTAGCAGTAGGATAGAGGATGCATTCAAGAAAGGTTTGAGATGAGAAAGAAGGAAAGAAGAAAAACTGAGTGCATGAGTCGTAAGCTTGGTGAGGCGGTGTAAGAGCCAGAATGAAGATAGCAAGTGTGCAGTAGAAATAAGCAGACGCGTAAGGGAGACATCAACGTGGAATAGAAATGACTTGATGATATATCTATGGGAGGTGGTGGGTGAGTGTGAGGAAGGCATTGATATTCTCAGGATTCTGGCATGGAACACTGGGTGAATGATGGTGCCATGTACCAACACAACAGAAACGGTGGAGGAGGTTGGGGTGACAGGTCCAGACAGCAGCAGAGATGAGTTTAGTTCGGGGCACATTGCATTCCATATGCCTGGGAGGGTGTCCAGCAAGCAGTTGGCTGTGTTGTCCAAGGGATCTGGGCAACAGAGCCAACTGGAGAGGTTGGTTTGACCATATGTGAGAGTGCTTGCTGCAAGTGGTAATTTAGCCCAACTGTTATCCATTTTCTTTTTTTCCAAGGACTAACATATTAGGTGATCAGTAAATATTTGTTGAATTGATATTACTGTGGCTACAGCCTTTACCCTTGGTCTCTTCTGTACATGCTTTGAAAACAATGATTGATCTATCTAATTTTACTCAGCAGTAGGCAACTTTGGGCCACGTGGTGCTGGCCTGAACAATGTTTATCTTAATTTTATTGTTATTTTTTATGCTAATAAACATTATTTTATTTTTAAGTATACTCTATTGATTATGCTGTTACAATTGTCCCATTTTTTTCTTCTCTCCCCCTCCAGCCTGCACCCCATTCCCACCAGCATTCCCCCTCATTAGTTCATGTCCATGGGTCATACATATAAGTTCTTTGGCTTCTCCATTTCCTATACTATTCTTAACCTCCCCCTGTCTATTTTGTACCTACCAATTATGCTTTTTATTCCCTATACTTTTCCCCCCATTCTCTCTGTTTTCCTTCCCTGCTGATAACCCTCCATATGATCTCTATTTCTATGATTGTGTTTCTGTTCTGATTGTTTGCTTAGTTTGTTTTTGTTTTTTAGGTTCAGTTGTTGATAATTGTGTTTGTTGTCATTTTACTGTTCATAGTTTTGATTTTCTTCTTTTTCTTATAAGTCCCTTTAAGATTTCATATAGTAAAGGCTTGGTGATGATGAAGACCTTATCTGGGAAGCCCTTTATCTGCCTCCCACTCTGAATGAAAGCTTTGCTGAATAGAGTAGCAAAGGATGTAGGTCCTTGGATGTAGGTCCTTGCCTTTCATGACTTTGAATACTTCTTTCTAGCCCCTTCTTGCCTGTAAGGTTTCTCTTGAGAAATCAGCATATAGTCTTGCGGGAAGTCTTTTGTAACTAACTGTCTCTTTTTCTCTTGCTGCTTTTAAGATTTTCTCTTTATCTTTAATCTTGGGTAATGATGTGCTTTGGTGTGTTCCTCCTTGGGTCCAATTTCTTTGGGACTCTCTGACATTCCTGGACTTCCTGGAAGTGTATTTCCTTCACCAGATTAGGGAAGTTTTCCTTCATTTTTTCAAATAAGTTTTCAATTTCTTCCTGTTCCTTTTCTCCTTCTGGCGCCCCTGTAACTCAGATGTTGCATTATTTGAAATTGCCCTAGAGATTCCTAAGCCTCTCCTTATTTTTTTGAATTCTTGTTTCTTCATTCTGTTCTGGTTGAATGTTTATTTCTTCCTTCTGTTCCAAATCATTGACTGGAGTCCCAGTTTTCTTCCCTTCACTGTTGGTTCCCTGTATTTTGCTTTATTGCACTTTGCAATGCCTTTTCTTTTTCCTCTATTTTGCAACCGTACTCAACCAATTCTGTGAGCATCCTGATTACCAGTGTTTTGAACTCCACATCTGATAGGTTGGCTATCTCCTCGTTGCTTAGTTTTTTTATGGAGTTTCGATCTGTTCTTTCATTTGGGCCATATTTCTTTGTCTCAGCACACCTGTTACATTGTAAGCGGCAGAGCCTTGGATATTTGCCAGGGTGGGGCAATCCATGTTGCTGCATTGTGGCCTGTATGTGGGGGAGGGGTCTGAGAGGGAACAGTGCCACTTGCTCAGCTCTCTGCTGGCTTTCAGTCTCTTCCCCCGATACCCACAAACAAATTGGGCCCTTCTGATGCTGATTCCTGGGTCAGTGGGTGGGTTTGTGTGCATTCTAGGACCATGTGGGTCTCTCCAATGAACACACCTGTGAAGCTGGGAGTTTCTCTCACTGCTGCAATCCCCACAGGTTTTTTCAGCCAGAGGTTTTGAGGCTTTAGTGTCCTGTGCTGGAACCCTGGGTTGTGTGGTCTTTCTCCCCAGTTGTTCCTCCTGGCTTATCCTCACACGAATGTGGGACCTCCTGGTCTACCACCTTGCCGGGCATCTTCTGTACCTGGACGCCTGTCTCCACCCCTCCTACCAGTCCAGATGAATGTTTTTTCTTTAACTCCTTGGTGTCAGACTTCCATACAGTTCAATTTTCTGGCAGTTCTGGTTGTTTTTTGTTTTTAAATTTGTTGTCCTTCTTTTGGTTGTGTGAGGAAGCAAAGCACATCTACCTACACCTCTATCTTGACACCAATGGCTTCTTGATGACAGACTACACTTATCACTTGAGTATACTGGTACAAAACTGTCTCTTACTTGATTGATTACCTTAGGTATTTTCCTGGTTATTAATCACCCACCTCTGATGAAGTTCCTCTGTATGTGAATAGGTTTGGGTATGCTATTCACAGAGCCAGCATATAGCAATTTAAGGAAGACTATGTGTTTACTATCAGTTCATCTATTTTTGGATATTTCTACATCAGCTTGTCTAACCCAAAAGAAATGGTGAGATAAGTGCCCTAGAAAGTACAGAAGTTCGTTCTAGTGTCCCCAGACTGTAGCACATCAGCGGTGCTCAGATAATGTTGACTGACTTAAGTGAATTTGTATGGTACTTTGAATTTACACAGTGCTTTCTTATAGACTATTGCGTTTGATCTTCAGAACCCTGTGAGTCAAACCAAGTAGTATTCTCATTTTAAGTGTGAGGAAATTCATATACCCTTAGCAAGAATATTTTTGTGTCTCTGATACATCTGCAGAGACAGTTTCTATCGTCATTTCTCAATTCCATTTTTATGTCCTAAGTAATATTTATAACCCGTCACTGAGAGACCTGCCTGACTGTGATGCTGCCGACAATTTCAAGATGGTTCAGAAGAAAAGTCAGCCTGAGTTCGTGAGGATGCTGCATCTTTTCTTGCCTTAATAGAGAAGTTTTTTTTATTCATCACAAGTGGGCTGGTTTACAAGGAAAGGAGCAGCAGTGATTGTCTAAAATACAATCCATACAACGTGGTTTGAGTACCACAATGTGTAAGCTGGTCCAGGCGTATGCCATTTACTTCAGGAGCCTGAAAGACCGTTTGAAAAGAGTCCCTGTCTGTCATTAAGTCCCTGTGTGGTGTGCAGTGTGCAATTTGACCTCACCAAGATTTCAGGCCCAAGTGGCACTTTTACAGCTTTCTGGTGAGCACTTGCATTTGTAACTTTTCATTACGTTTGACTTCTGTTAGATTGTTCATTTTTCAGATGGCTTGTTCTTTTCCTGCTAATGTGAATTCCTTTCCTTCTTCTACCTCCAGCACCTTTCTTTAAAGTTTAGGAATAGGTCTATCTACTGTGACATGTTCTTCTCATCCTCATTCTCTTGGAAGTACTATTTTAGATCTGTTTTTCCTGTGATGTGAGGCATTTACCCAAAGAGGGAACTCTGTGTTGCCAGGGTTCATTTCCCTTAGGGGTTGGAGATGGTAGTCATTCATCTGTGAATAAATGACCTCAGCTGCTGGGCCATTTTTATTCTGTTTACAAATAAATGTTTCACTAGTTTTGATATTACATTTAATTTCATGGCAGTGATTGGATTAAGTGTGTGCTGGATGAACTTGACTTCTATGTCCCCACCAACCAAAGTCTAGATTATAGTATTAGGTGCTAGGATGATGATACATATGTCTTGGAGACGTGACATGTTTTCAACCTGATCAGGCTCCCTGAGGATGTTTTGATTGACTCACGTAAACTGGGTTGTACCCTGTGTATAGTAATGACTTGGGTATTTAGGAATGGCAAAGTACCGGTAACTGCTTTATGTAAGAAGAATGTGTCATAAAGGAAAGACCATAGTAATACAAAGTTCTTGACAGTGGGCAAAAGACATCAAAATTACTTCTCAGATTAACAGAGTTCCAGAAACATGACCAAAATGAAGTTGGAATTTACTTAAGCTGCTGACTTAATTCTTCTTTTGACTACTTTAGGAGCTAAGCTTATTGGTTTCTATGTGCATTAATATTATTAAGGCCTCTTAAAAGTCATTGTTGATTCTCAGAGTTCACTATATTTCCCACTTATTCCTAATATTCTTGCTTTTGTATGTGTTCATTTATTTGTAGAATGTAAATGGCATTCGCACAGAGGAGGCGGCTCCCGTGACACAGGGGCCATCTGCCACCCCTGACTCTGAATGGGCGGGCCCCGAGCACTCAGTAATTCCTAGTCAGAGCCAGAGGACCGCCCCACCGGAGTGGCCACAAAGCTTTGACTTTGGCCCCCTCTCCATAAGCAGCAAGGAGGCAGAAGAGAAGGAGCAGGGGGAAGCTGGCTATCTTGATATTAAGGAAATGCCAAGAGCCCCGAGTGGGGAATGTGTAGGAGAGGAGGATCAGGCCGGTGCCTCACAGGTCCCAGTGTCGCCAGCTTCCTCTCAGCTGCAACTCGGTGAGACAAAGGCAGAGAGTAGTGAAGAGCGTGCCACACCAGGAGAGCCGCTGGGAAAGCAGGACGGGCCATTTCTTGACTCCCGTGTGGGTAACCAGTTCCCCACCCTCATTCGAAGTTTCCAGGTAGTAACTGATTCAGCGGCGCAGGTTGGATGACTCCGTCGGGAGAGGGCCCGAATCTGTTCGGTGGAGGAGGTGGTGGTGGTGGTGCGGGCAGTGGCCTCTCTGCTGTTTTCAGAACCACAGAATAAAATGGAAGCCCTTGATCACTCTAAAGAAATTTAGCCAGAGGAATCACCTCCATGGCTGCAAAATGCTTTCCCCCCATGACTTAACAGGACTCTTGGGGGTAAACTCCAGCTGTTCACCGTGATGAAGCTGGTGTGTGTTTTTCTTCCTTGGTCAAGATGGGCAATGAGAAGAGGTGAATTTCTGACTTATATGATGAGGGGCCTACAGTGTCCTGAGACTGTGCTCGAAAAACTAAAATACACTTAATTAGAAGGGGTGACTGATTTTATTATGAGATTTCAGGCCCCCCCAAATTATTTATGTATTTCAGCCACGCAGTACAGCTCACCACTCCCACTGACCCCACCCACAGGGGCTTCCGTGATTGCAGGCACTAATCTATGCTGAGGTGGACGGCCACTTAACTTTATCACAATCAATTGCTAGTTTTAGGGTGGTTTATAGTCTTGGGGAAGGTGAACTGTTGGATAAGTAGCCTTTGATATTCTACTAATATTCATTCTTCTGAAATTCTGAGATTAATCACCAGGTGGTGGTAGAACTGATTTTTTTTTTTCCCAGTTTCCCAAATACTGTTTCTTCTCAATCCCTCCAAAGTGAATGTCTGACATTGATTTGAAAGAAGTTAATGAATTCAGGGTAATGCATTTCAATGCCACTGCTGTTTCATGTACCATTTGAACTAAGCAGAGGAGCTACAGCTGATTTTCTTAATGGCACAGTCGGAAGGACAAACAAAAAAGACAGCTATTTGGCAAATGGTTTTATATTCAAATTCTGAAGGTCAGTCTGAAGTGCTTTTTATCACCGATCATAATCGTCTGATCCTCTAGCCTTCCATTAAGCATATGGAAGTGATTACCGTAATGCTGTTCTTTAATAGCTCTCAGGATTTGACACCTTGTCAGAGCTACCTTGGAGTAGTGTCCAAATCTTGGGCAGAGGTGGAACTAGCCCTCTGCTTGGTTAGAGCTGTCACTTTGATCAGGTCAATGTCAGAAGATGAACCCTCCAGAGCCTTCGGAAGGCCCTGGTGACCGTTGCTTTACTGCTCCGCAGCCTCCCCTGGTGAAGACCCAGACCGTCACCCTCTCAGATGCTGCCGATGTTGTGAAGAGTGAGATCCCGACCAAAGACGTCCCCATTGTCCACACTGAGACCAAGACCATCACCTATGAGGCTGCTCAGGTAGGACACCGTTTAATGTTTCAGAACCAAAGACAGAATAAACACAGTAAATAACCTTTTCCCACAGGGCGCCTAATTATTTGCTCCAAATAATGCTAGGCTTTTCTGGGCCATTTTTTTAGGAGGGTTTCACTGATCTAAGAATGCTCCAAAGAAGTGGTCCCCCACCTTTTTGGCACCTGTATGGACTGGGGGGAGGGGAGGAGACAGCAGGAGGTAAGCTTCCCTCTCCTGCTGTGAGCCCTGGTTCCTAATATGCCTTTGACTGGTACTGGTGGCCTGGGGGCTGGGGACCAGTAATTTATTAACATCAAAACTGCCTCGGATCTGACTGTTTATATCCACCCAATTCACTGAGGGAGGGCAGTCCAGTGTAATGGTGAAGAATATGAGCTTTGGGTCAAACAAACCAGAGTGCAGGTACTGGCCTCTCCATTTGTTAAGTTAAGCAAGTAACTGAACATCTCTGAGCCTTGATGCCCTGCCTCCCCACCTCCAGCCACATGATGTTAGCTGCCTTATGATTTTGTTATGAAGATTACATAAGACATTGCCCTGGCCAGCATGGGATGCCCAGTTGGTTGGGCATATTCATCCCACAAAGGAAAAGATTGCTGGTTTGATTCCTGGCCAGGGCACATGCCTGGGTTGCGGGCCTGGTCCCCAGCTGGGGCACATGCGAGAGGCAACCAATTGATACTTTTCTCCCTTTCTTTCTCCCTCCTTTCCCCTCTCTCTAAAAATAAAGAAATCAAATCTTTTTTAAAAAGATTATATAAGACATAGTAGTGCATGGAATTAACTTGAACATCAAGCCTGAAAGCATAAATAACTGCTATAATAATTATGATCAATTCAGTACAATTAAATTTAATATCACATAAGATTCTTTGTATTTAAAATTTTTGTTTGCTTCCTACTTTTAATAACATTTCTCTTCCTTATTGGCAATTTAAATGAGCTAGGGTTGCTTATGTTGTTTTTCTTTCCTGTTTTAATTCACAGAAGCCAACAGTAAGAAAAACTTTTCCCTCTATAAACTGAACTGTTAATCCTTCCTGCAGTGAGCATTTCTTGAGCGTTTCTTTATTAGGCCAAAGCAATGTCCACGGTAAACACAGGCCCTGCCCTCTGGAACTTACGTTCAGTCAGGAGAGACAGGCCATAAAACACATAAATAACTGTAAGTTTGGGACAGTGGCAAGTGCTGTAAAGAAAGTAAGCTAAAATAAAGAGTTAGACGACCTGGGACTACATGAGATTGCTACTTTGGGGCTGGAATTGTCTGGAAAATCCTCTCTGAGGAGCAGATATTTTGGCCAAAAGGCCTTGCTGATTCAGAATGACCAGCTGGATCACTTGAAGCAAATCATCAGTCTCTCTAAGCCTCTGGCTCCTCAGCTGTAGAATGGGGATAATACTACCTACCATCGCAAGGTTTGGGGAGGATCCAGTGAAAGGATGTCTGTAAAGTGCTTAGTTAATGTTAGAATGCTTCCCTTTTCTCTCTCTCCTGGGTGTGGAGCTTGCGTTTGGTAAATGATGAGCAGCTGTTTATCAGGACACGTTTTTTCATAGTGGTGAGAAAGTGGCCTCATTAAAGCCGTGATTTTGGAAGATGATTCCTAAAGTTGTGTCCTGAATACCTGAAAGCGGGGGACGCCTGCAGACAGGAGCAGGTCTGGGCGATCCTTGCAGAGAACTGACGTGTAGCCTGAGGAAGTAAGAGGGGGCTGTGGCAGCAAGAGGGACAGAAGTGAGTGAACAGGACCTGGCAGTGAAGGGGACTGAAAAAGGAGGGCAGAGGAAATCGCTTCGAGATCGTGGGCACAGTTAGCCAGAGGGGGTAGGAAATACTTAGTTGCTTGTGGGAGGGAGCCCTTTAATATGTCACTGCTATGGAAACAACCTACCTGGCCGTCAGTGGGGCACAGGTTAAATGAATTAGGGTCCATCCCATTAAGGTAATTCTGAGCAGCTATTTTGAAAAGCATCCAATGAGAATCATCTACATGATAAATTGGTAAGTGAAAAAGCACAGTATAAAATGGAAATAACCTGTAGAAAAAAAATGCCTGGTGCATGATAAGTGCCAGATAATTCTTTGCCATTGTTATTATTTATTTTATTATAAGTATTTTTATTTTTATTTATTTATTTTAATATATTTTATTGATTATGCCATTACAGTTCTATTTTCCCCTTCATTCCCCTCCACCTGCACACCCTCTCCCCCACTATTCCCCCCCTTTAGTTTATGACCACGTGTCTCAAGTTCTTTAGATTCTATATTTCCCATACTATTCTTGCCCTCCCTCCTATCTATTTTCTACCTACTGTCTATGCTACTTATTTTCTGTACCTTTTCCCCCCTTCTCCTTCTCCCACTCCCCTGTTGCTAACTCTCCATGTGATCTTCATTTCTATGGTTCTGCTCCTGATCTAGCTGTCCTCTTAGTTTGCTTTTGTTTTAGGTGTGGTTCTTAATAACTGTGAGTTTGCTGTCCTTTCACTGTTAATCTTTTTTATCTTCTTTTTATTAGGCAAGTCCCTTTAACATTTCATATAAGGGCTTGGTGATGATGAACTCCTTGAATTTGATTTTATCTGAGAAGCACTTTATCTGTCCTTCTATTCTAAATGAAAACTTTGCTGGATAGATCAATCTTGGTTGTAGGTCTTTGGATTTCATGACTTGGAATATTTCTTTCCAGCCCCTTCTTGTCTGTAGGTCTCTTTTGAGAAATCTGCTGACAGTCTGATGGGGACTCCGTTTTAGGTGACTATCCCCTTGTCGCTTGCTGCTTCTAGGATTCTCTCCTTCATTTTAATCTTGGCTAATGTAATGATGATGTGCCTTGGTGTGTTCTTTCTTGGGTCCAAGTTCTTTGGGACTCTCTGAGCTTCCTGGATTTCCTGGAAGTCTATTTCCTTTGCCAGATTGGGGAATTTCTCCTTTATTATTTGTTCAAATAAGTTTTCCACTCGTGGCTGTTCCTCTTCCCCTTCTGGTACCCCTATAATTCGGATGTTGGAACATTTAAAGATGTCCTGGAGGTTCCTAAGCCTCTCCTCATTTTTTTGAATTCTTGTTTCTTCATCCTTTTCTGTTTGGTCATTTTTTTCCTTTCTGGTCCACTCCTTTGATTTGAGTCCCAGTTTCCTTTTCATTGCTATTGGTTTCCTGTACATTTCCATTCATTTCAATTAGTTTAGCCTTCATATGTTCCTCTAATTTGTGACTAAAATCAACCAGTTCTGTGAGCATCCTGATCACCAGTGTTTTGAACTGTGCATCTGAAAGTTTGGCTATTTCTTCATCGCTTAGATTTATCAGCTTTGGGGCTCTGAGTTGTTCTTGAGCCATGTTTTGATCTGTTCGTGCCTGTTACGTATGAGGAGGTGTTCACCAGGGCGGGGCCACCGAGGTCGCTGGTTTGTGATGCTATATGTGGGGGCAGGTCAGAGAGAGGCCACCCAGGTCGCTGGTTTGTGATGCCATATGTGGGGGCAGGGTCAAAGAGGGACAATGGCGGTCTTCTCTGCCACTTTCCGCCACTGGGGCCTGTATGGTGTGTCTCACCACTCGCTCCTTCACCAGTTTATCTGCAAATGTGTGACCATGGTCAGCCCTCAGTGAGTTCACCGCCTTGCGCCCTCAGGTGGGTCCTCCCGCTTCTCCACACCTGGGATCCGCCCACGGCTGCCCGTGTGCCTGGGTTGTGTGCCCCGGTTGGTCCAGTGGATCTTTCCTGCCCAACCCCGCCCTGTTGCTGGCTCTGCCTCTCTTACTGGTTTGGCTAAAGGGTTCGTTGTTGTCAGACTTACATATAGTTCAATTTTCTGTGGTTTGGCTGTGTTTTTGTTGCTAAAACTCCGTTGTTTTTAAATTTGGTTGTGTAAGAAGGTGCAGTGCTTTCACCTATGCCTCCATCTTGGTGGAAGTCGGGAAGACTGTTTCTCATTATAAGTATTTTTACTTCTGTTTTTGTTATCTGGCCAGACAACTAAGCCCGGGAACCTTGTTATTTTTCCACAATCCCACTCTTAGGGAGACAGGGCGAGAGGAGATAGGGAGCCAGCACAGGGCTTTTTTGTTTGTGGAAATGTGCGGATATGTGCGCATGAGGTCCGGTTTACGTCCAGTGAGCTGCACAGGCTTTAAGTGTTCAGTTTGATCGGGTTGGGCAAATGTATATGCCTGTGTGACCAAGATACATTGGGGTGCAGAACATGTGCATCACTCCTTTCTGTGTAGCGTTTCCCAGCCGATCCCCACCCTTCTAGGCAGCTGCTCTGATTTCCGTCATCATAGTTTTGCCCGTTCTTGGACTTGATGTAAATAGAGTGTACTGCAGTACACTCTCGTGTCTGAATGTGTTTTTCAGGTTCATCCATGTTACATGAATCCGGTTCACTGCTTTTTATTGTCAAATAGTATGGCATTGTGTGAATATACCACAATTCATCCTTTTATTTGTTGATGGACATTTGAGCTGATTCCAGTTTGGGGCAAATATGACTAAAGCTGCTCTAAACATTTATGTGCAAGTCTTTCTGTGGACAGGTTTTCACTTATCTTGAGTAAACACCGAAGAGTAGAATTTCTGGGTCGCAGGATAAGTGGATGTTTAACTTTGTAAGCAGCCATCAAAGCCACAGTACCCTTTTGAGGAAACACTGGTGAGACGGTCACAGAAAAGAAGCCTGAGGTGTCATCCGCCACCCTCCTCGGGGACAGAAGGGGAGGAGCAAGGGGCTGGGGATCAGGTAGGAAACATTGAGGCACAGGTTTAGTGGAGGAGGGACTCTTTAAAAAGGCTCAGCCCTCCTGGCATGCAAATTTATATTCTTATAACAATTTGTAAACCACTTTCAGTTCTGAGATCTTTTTCGGTCTCCGAGACAGGCGGAGCACACACTTCAGTCGGACCTAGTACGAATGGGAAGACTGAGCCTGAGAGGAGTCAGAATAACTTGCCCAGTTATTTGAGCCAAGATTCAAACCTCAGTCTTCAAACTTCAAAATTTGAAACCTCACAAAGTTTCCTCCCTGAAGTCCTAGTTCAAAAGCTTATTAACTATAGGTCCATGACCAGTCACTTAATCTCTCTGGACGTCAGTTTTCTTAACTGTACACAGTGAGTACAGTAATAACAGGACCTACTTCAGATACCGAGATGTGCGATTGAGATAACACTTGCATTATGTGCTTGACACATAGTAGGAGTGCAGTACATCTTAGTTAAGTCTGGATCTAAGGTAGGTGAGTGGGTCAGGGCTGAAGACAGTGTTGGTGAATGAGCCCGTTGTGCGGCGGTGCCACGTGTGTAGACTTAGGTGACACGGCTGCGCTCCCACTCTCCGTTTTGTCTGGATTCCCACCTGGACAGACGCAGCCAGCGACCTTCCTCCTTCCTAACTCTCTTCTCCTTCCTCCACCTGAGCACTGCCTGCCCATGTCAAAAGTTTCACCTTAATAAAATGTGGGCCTTCTCATAAAAAGATGGGAAGCCTCTGCTTATTATACAAATGACTGTGTAAAGGGGCCAGAAAAAGTAATAACCTGACACCTCTCACCTTTTTTGCTTCAGGATGCTTTATGAAAATAATTGCAATTCTCTAAATGCCCCTCTGGAACAGTGTGCAATACCAGTGCCAGGAACTTTAGGTCATTGTCAGGTGCGGCGCATGTGGCTATGAGTAGCCTCTGCCCCTTCAGTCTCATCTGTGTCCACCTGGGTTTGGGGTTCGCAGCAGCGAGTCACGCGGCCCAAATGACTGCCGACCCCTGCTCATCGCGTTGAGTGTGGCCCGGGCCGGCCATCTCTCTTTCTTTTGCTGACGTCATTTCTCAGCCTGACCATAGTGTGTTCGTTTTGGTCGTATGTAATGCGCTCCAGAGGAACAAGAAGTACCCCAGTCCTCGGTCTCGAATTAGGTTAATTGTATAGCTCGGCATTTTGAAAACTTTTCAATCCCTCCTATAATAAGGAGGATCCATTTCAATAATAGTGTTGTTGTCAGAAATGCCATTGAGATATTATGTACATTTCCTTCCACTCTGCTTTAAAGGGACACTTCCTACTTCATTTGTTTCCAGTCTTCCGTCTCCATCTTCAAAGAGGATAGCTTGAGATTCCTTGGCTCACCAAATGAGCCACCTGGCCAGGGCTGGTTTTATTTATTTATTTAAATTTATTTATTAAGAGATCACTGTAGCCCTGTCCAAAGTGTCTCGGTTGGTCATCATCTTGAAGACCAAAGGGTCACGGGGTCAATTCCCGGGCCAGGGCACATCCCTAGGTTGTGGGTTTGTTCCACAGTCGGCGGGTACAAAATGAAATGAATTAATGCATTGATGTTTCTCTCCCTCTTGTTCTCCCTCCTTTTTCCTCTCTCTAAAAAAAAAAGAAAAAAATAGAAGAAAAAGAAAAGGAAAGGGAAGAAAAAATTTTTTAAAAAGGGAGAGAGAGAGAAGTCACTGTAAAGGAATCGGGTTTCTAATTTAGAATGTACAGCTGAAGAGCAAAACTGCACCCGGCAACGTTTGCCCGCAAAGCTTCCTGCAAGGTGCAGTGACGCTTGTCTCCCTCCCTTCTGCAGACTGAGGACAGCAATGGGGACTTGGACCCTGGAGTCTTGCTGACAGCTCAGACCATCACATCGGAGACCACCAGCAGCACCACCACGACTCAGATTACCAAGGTAACAGACCAGCCGGCACGCTCTTCTGGAACCCGGTAGCATGTCCAGTGTGCTGCCTCTCTGCAGGGAGGACTCTGGTCCATAAACAAGGGTTTTCTTCTCCATCCCTCCTGAGCCAAATTATTCCCAGTGTCCCAGGTGGGAAGGACCTGCTGCTTTCCCCAGGAATAAGTCTGGGGAGACCCTGTGAGTGTCCCTGCCTCCTGAGTGGTGTCATAAAGTCACATGTGCTTGTTCTCCTTACCTATCTGTCCATCTCTCTGGCTGGGGAGTCTTCTATCTGGCTGTGGAGATAAGTTTAAAAAGTCAGTTTAAGGGCAAGTGTTCTTGGTGTCTAAGCCACAACAATCAGGACCATGTCCAGGGTCAAGGCCATGGGACTGTAGTTTGGATACTGAAATACTGGAAGTGTCACAGCATTGCTTATGGGGACAGGAGGGACAACATATCCCCTCAGAAGATCAGAGATCCCTGTCTGCTGTAGTTACTACAGGAAAAGGCATTTTCCGACAAGTAAGAAATCTCGATCTCTGTCCGAGCTCCACCATCAGCACAGAGGTGACTGGAAGCCAGTTACTTAGCCTGGTCTAGACCTTGGTTTTCTTCATGTGTCAAGTCAGGAAACCTCCCCACCCTGAGGAGGTTATTTGAGGCTTTTTTGGCATCAGTAATATGAACACGCTTTAAAATAAAGGGCCCAATTTCAAGCTGCATAACACTTTTGGTCAGTCTTCTGATTTTTTTTCCTCCTGAAAAAATAATAAAATACACTGCTAAAGAATAAACAATACCTGTCTATTTTGTGTACTACTGAATTTTTATGGTATTTAGGAGGAAGAAAATGGGGAAAGGAAGTAAATAGAGAATTCTGATTTTTTGTTCAATGTATTAAAGATTTTTACCAATGCAAGGGGATAGAGGTGCGTTCATTTAGCAGGTGCAGCCAAGATTCTGGACAAGCACCTGAGAGGGCCGCTCTGCGCAGTACCAGCAGCAGGTCAAATTTGGGAGTGGAGCTTGCAGAATAATCTCTCGCTGTTTCTCTTTTCTTTCCTTCTCACATGACCACCTCCCTTTGGTTTCAGACTGTAAAAGGTGGGATATCAGAGACCCGGATCGAAAAGAGAATTGTGATCACAGGAGATGCTGATATTGACCATGATCAGGTGGGAATGCCGAGGAGATTGTGGGAATGGGAGGGGTCCCTGGGAAGGAAGGTTGATGGATGTAAAAGATACTCCTGCCAACTTCACCTCCAAAGAGCCCCCTCAGCTACTCTACCTCTTCCCCAAGAAGAAGGACAGCCCTGACCGGCTTGACTCAGTTGGTTGAGCATCGTCCTGCAAGGCAAAGGGTCAAATGTGCCCAACCCCCGTCAGGGCACATGCCTGGGCTGGGGCCTGGTCCCCAGCTGGAGCTCACGCGAGAGGCAACTGATTGATGTTTCTCTCACACATCGGTGTTTCTCTACCTCTTTTTCTCTCCCTTCTTCCCATTTCTCTAAGAATAAATAAAATCCTTAAAAAAAAGAAGAAGAAAGACAAAGGGAATCAGCTCACCAAAGCCTATGGGATGGGGTCCATAGATTGGGGAGCAAGGAAGTGTAATAGGAAGACACGGACTTTAGTCTCAAAACACCTGAGTTCCAATCCCAGGGCTTACCAAGTTCTAACGCTTAACTGCCCAGGCTTCCGCTTCCCCATCTATACAGTGGGCGTCTTAACACCTTCCTCTCAAGGTGGTTCTGAGAATCGGGTGAGAAATGGATGTCCAGTGTGTGGCACCTGGTGGGTTCCAAGTAAATGGAGCTGTTGCTCTTCGAGGGATACCTAGTACCTAAACCTGTGCTAGGGACAATTGATGACATCAAAGCAAAGGGAAGGTAGGACCGCTACCCTCAGGGCTGTCATAGCTGAGGAGACAACTAGCAGGACATGGACTTGACTTGCTTTCTGCCCTAGATCTAACACTAACTTGCTGTGTGACCTTGGGCAAAACACCTTGCCTCTGATTTTTTTCCTCTCCCAAAACAGTACATTGATCTAGATAATTTCTGGGCCCTTCTGAACTAAATTCTATGTTTTCATGTTAATTAGGTACTAATTGTGTGCTACAAGCAATTAGCAAATAATAAGGTCAGGATTAATGTTCCCAATTCCCTGCCAGAGAGGTTATGGCAGGAAAGCTGCAGAGAAGAGGGGGTGGAAGACACTGCATGCAAACGCCTCTGGAATCACTGACAGGAGCGCTGGAGCGGAGCTTCTGTGGCCTTTCTTCTGATGTGCTGAGTGCCTCAAAAAAGAGGAAAATAAAGCCTGAGCTGCAGTGCTGGTGGTTCTGTTGGTCGCAGGGTCGAGACTTACAGCTAAGAATGCTGGGCTCAGGGTCCCAGCAGCAAGGCTGCTCAGCCCGAGGGAGAGGCCTTGCAGCCCCAGCTCAGGGGATCCTGCTGCATCCCCAGCCTGCACCTGCCTCTTATCCGGGCTGATCTGGGCTCCGCTGTGTGCTCAGTCTGTGCTGGGCAGCAGGAGCAGCCGGCTACAAGGGTGTGTAGGGTTTGCGGCGAGACAGAGCTGGGTGGATCCCTGACTCCGTAGCTCACTGGTCGTTGTGTGCTCTTGAGCAAGGTATTTTATTTCTCTGAGATGTAGTTTCACCATCTACAGAATAAAGAAAATCATAGGTTTCTTTCAGGGTTGTTGTGACAAAGAGATGCTCCAGGGTCCCTCAGTTCTCCTGGGCACCGAGGGCTCTGTGAAGGATAGGTGTGCTCTCTGGGTGGGGGAGGGAAGTGCCCCAAGAAGGACTGACTGTTCAGGAGAAGTGCAATGCAGGCCTTCACTGTGAGGTAGGTGAAAGCCAGAGCAGCCAACTCGAGGGCTTGGGCTGGGCCTTGAAGCATGAGCAGAAAAGCTGGGCGAAAAGCAGTCAGGGAGGGTGAGCAGCGGCCTGTAGAGGTGGTGGCCCAACAGCGGCTTTCCTGGAGTCAAGAGACCAAAAGAGGGATCTCCCTTCTTCCCCCGTCCTTCCCGGTCCATCTTAGAGATGATTCTTTTTTTAAGAATAGATTTTATTTACTTTTAGAGAGAGGGAAGGGAAGGAGAAAGAGAGAGAAACATCAATCTGTGCTTGCCTCTCATGTGCCCCCTACTGGGGATCTGGCCTGCAACCCAGGCATGTGCTCTGACTGGGAATTGAACTGGCAACCCTTTGGTTTGCAGGCCTGCACTCAATCCACTGAGCTACACCAGGTGGGGCTAGAGATGATTTTTAAGAGCCAGAGTCAACAGGCAGCTGGTCAGATCTAGCTAGAATCCTTTTCAATGGTGGGGGGAGGTGTAGGGGAGGAAGTTGTCTCTGAGAATCGCTGTGCCCTGAGCTAGAGGCTCAGAAATGCGCAGCCTGAGGAAAGTGGTGGCTCCATTACTTTTCTTTCCCTCTGCTCCCTCTAGCTTTTCTAAAACAATCAAAACCCCTTCAAATGCTAACTAAAACAGGGTCTCTTCTCCCCAGAGTCTAAAAGACAGTATGGTAAAGAGGAAAGTTTGATGGGCTTAAGTTAAAACTTCTGTTGCATTGCTTACTAGACAATAACCTAGTGAAACACTAGGCACTTTAAGCACTGAACCTCAGTTTCCGTGTGTACAAAAGGGAAATAATGGTTTTTACCTTCATTCTTTGGGTGGCTGTGAAGACTAAGTATTCCGTGTAATGGTAAGTAATGTGGGTAGGGCGGTGCATGCCAGCAGGCCCTCCCGCGCCTCCTTCTTCTCCCTGCTTTAGTCAAAGACATCTCTCCCTCTTCGCAGCGTGCTGCTGTGTTTCCCTCGCCTATTCTGAACTTCCCAGTTACCTTTCGGTGAGCACAGCTTTTGGTTTGTCCTTTAGACTCACTTCCGAGTGGATCCTCTCAGATCCAGCAAGCAGGTGCCGCCATGGCCCCTGAAATCCCTCTCTGATTCCTCAGAGACAGCTCTGACCTTCCCTGTCTCTGTTCAGTCCAGGAGCTTCCCTGTGCAGATGCAGCGGTTAAGGTCATTATCAGCTTGACTTAGCCTAAACGCTGCCCCAGTTCGGCAGGCAGGATTGAATTTGCCAGAGAAGTGCTGTCCTGTGACCTCACTTCACCAGCCAGGCTGCTCTCTGCCTGACGGGTGCCCTTTCCGTCCCTCTCAGGTCCTCGTGCAGGCCATCAAGGAGGCAAAGGAGCAGCACCCAGACATGTCAGTGACCAAGGTGGTCGTCCATCAGGAGACCGAAATCTCTGAGGAATGAGCTCAGGTAGGGACTGTTCTTGCTGGGGCGGAGGGTGCTCACTTTCCCAGCCTCAGAAAGCACTGGGTGGGAACCCTGGCCCCTCTGGGAGCCGTCCCTCTAGAGGTGTCCGCTCTGGAGCTTGGTCCAGTGAAGGCAGAGGAGAGATTGATGAGGTGATTGAGTAGCTGGCCCCTGCTAAAGCAGCCAGGTCTCCTGTGTCCTCCTGCCCTTCCTTAGTGGTGGCAGCAGTGACGGGGTCGGGGTCGAGGAGACACCCCAGATGCGGATGCAAACTCCCCCCCACCTCCTGCTGTTCCAGCTCGCCTGCCTTCCAGTTCTCTGCTGCTCTGCTCTCTGCTGTCCCAGGGGAGGGCCGGCGGGGGAGAACAGAACCAAGAAAAGCAGGGCCAGGCTGTCTGGAAATGGAGGGGTTGGGGGAGAGGGAAGAAATGGCTGAAGTTCTCGGACCAGACTAGAGGGTTGAAAGCAGGGTGGCTGCTTTTTGGGAGACAGGGATCCAGATGAATTCATGCCTAAAAGCAGTTTACAGAAGATTTGAGGATGCTGTCAGTCGCCAGTCAGAACGGGGTGCTGTGAAGCCGCTCAGGCCTTGATTATAGTGTGGCCACAGGAGTTTGGTAATGGGACTGGGTAAGCCTTCTTTTCGGGATTTACCGACTTTGCTTTTCTGTCCTCTAGGAATCGTTTACCCCCAACTCCCTGCCCATCTCCCATCCGCGAGAAATGATCAAGAAGCTAAACTGCGATAGTCAGACTTTCAAGATTATTATAAACCACCAGAAAATTAATTTCATTTTCTATTTGGAGTTTATACCAACAGAGTCTTCTGGACATCACCGATCCTTTTGAATACCTTTTTCTATATTGTGATACCAGAGATTGCTCAACTTTTCACTGTCTGGACTGTTTTTAAAGAGCTTTCGGGTTTTCTATGGGGCGGTTTGTAATCCCTTCATTCAGTCCAGCCTCTCCCCATGTGTTTCCAACCCAGATACTCACCGGGCCCACAGGATTCCTCTGGAAATCCTCCAAAGCCTCCGTCCGCGTGTTGGGGGCAAAGCCAGCTTAATGGGGCTGCCCTGCTCCTCTTCTAGTTTTATGCCCTTTGGATGACAGTGGAAACTTCAAAGAGCAGCCCTTTCTCAGAGCCAATGATGTGACTTTACCAGAATGTCAGGCAGGGTGAGGCCCTGATCCACAGACCCCAGGAAAGTGTCCCTGTCCCTTTGTGGGGGTGGTTTCGGTGAGGCAGAGGCCTCTGCTGAGAATGTACTATTGCTTTTCCTTCCTCCCTCCTGTTCTTTCTTTTCGGAGCTTCTTTAGATCAGAGACGTAAGAAGTTGCTCAGCTCCATCTGATACTGTGAATGTTTGAACAGACTGTGGCCTTCACCTTCCTGCCCTCCCTCCCCTTTTACCTCATCAGAAGGAGTGGCTCTGCTAAGTGCTCCCCCACCTCCCATCTCAGGAGACCAAAACTCACGGAAAAATAGGCACTTTTGGCTAAGAGCACTAAAGGCACATTTTTAGTGGTGATGTGGGCAAAGAAAGCGAATGAGGTTTTTGAAAGTGTTTCTAGCTCTGGGCTGTGTGCCCCATACAGGGAATGGTGGGCAGTCCCTCAGTCAGAGCCTGCTAAGCAATATGTCCAGGTGCCGCCCCTGGGCCTCTTCTCTGACCCTGGGATGATGATGGGGAATGTGACTCGAGAGGAGGTTGTGATCCTTGACCTGTCTTCTTGCCACCAGCACCTGCCTGCAGACGCCCTTTTGGATTTTGGGGCAGGGAAGCGGGCTTTTGGGGGCCACTGTGCCCACAAGACCCCACATGCCCAGGTGTACAAGCACCAGCTCTGCCCATTCTCACTTCCCATCTGAGGGCTGTCGGTCAGGGTTTGTGGGCTTGATTTGTATGGTGGACTTGGGTTGAACTCTTTTGTTGTGGTTTGGTTTTGAAAATGAGGCCCGATGTCTCAATTCCACCATTCCAGGTCCAGATTTGGGGGCATTTTTATTTAGTGGGGCTTCTCTAATCTCCCAGCTTGCTCCCACAAACAGATCTGCCTGGAAATCCTTAGCATCCTAATTCTGGGACATCTGTGAATTCATGAGGCAGACAGTGGGTCAGAGGCCTGCCCCTGTGCTCCCCACGGCGGGAGCCCGCCGCCTGCGGCCAGTCTCTGCTGGCCAGTTCTGCTTTGGCAGGCGCAGGTGGTTTGAACTTACTTCAGGTGTGTGCATTTTTCTCTTAATAGTTATGTGAGATTGTTATGAAGCAACAGGCAGCCCTCCTGGGGAAGGACAGGAAGACCTCAGGTGGGATGCGTGGCAGGCTTGGGGAGGTAGTCCTGTCTCAGGAACAGACTGAGCGCCTGTGGGCATAGGTGTCAGTATGGATGGGCTTTCTGGTTGGTGCCCAAGCCTGGATGGTCCAGCTCGCATCAAACAAGCTTATGGAAGCTCACTTCCCAGTGGCAGGCAGTTGTGCTGAAAGGCACTGCGGCTCCCAGAGCTGGAACCTGCGGCACGAAGAGCACCGGGGAAAGAAAGCACAGCCAGTGCACTGGGAACCTGGCAGACTCGGTGCTGTCCAGAGCAGTGTGGCGGCTCAGAGCAGGGGCCACAAACCTGGGGCCACACCTTTCCCTCAGCTCTGTCACCAACGGGCTCCCCTTCTCCCTGCTTCCTTTCCTATGAACTGGACCAGGACATCTCTAATGCCCTTCCGGCACCGAGCAGTCATGATTTGGACAAGCTAGTGAGAGCGGGGGTCCTTCCCAGCCTCTTCCCCTCTCCTCCTTCTCTGGTAACAGATCTCGGGGTTGGGCAATAGTTTGGATGTTTCCTTCCTGCGGTTGTGTGTGTGTGTGCGCGTGTGTGAAGAAACACAGGCTCTGTCCGGGTGGGAAACAGAGGCAAGGGACTCGGCAGTGGTTTTCCTGAAGTGACTCAGACATATCACAGTAACAACTTTAGCTGCAACTTTATTTTTATTTCACTTGAGAAATAAAGACTTCCTCCAAGCCACATGAGGTCTCTGCCACCCACCCACTCACCAAGCTGGACCTGCGTGTATAAGCTGAGGGCCCCTGAAGCCGGACTGCAGGGACCTGTGGAGGCACCTCTGCCACCCTTCCCGGGCCCCCCGCCATGTGTTCTGCAGGACAGCTGAGGGTGACGGGACAGCAGCCACCTGGAGAGACGGAGCCAGAGCTCTGGCCTGACCGACACACGAAATACCTGCCCAGGACCCTGGCCCCAGGCTGGTGGTCATACCCATCTCTCAAATGTATTATTTTGGTGACAAAAATGAAGGAGCTTTGTAAAATTTTTAAAAATTATGAATCATATCAAGTAGTTGTTTACATTTCTCGACAAAATCGGAACTATGGCAGCAGAATCAAATTGGCAAAATTCTTAGGCTAAACAGGCAATAATGAGGTCTGCTGCTTTGGCCTTTCATAGGAAGAGAACCGTAGTGTTTAGATACGTGTTTGGTCTTGCTTCTTGTACTGCATTTTTCAATAAACTTTTAAAAAAAGGACTGAATCTGTGAGGATTGATTAACTTTTAAAGTTCTCTTCCCCTTTTGCTAAAGTAAACCACCATCAGCCAAAACGCAGCTTCAACACTGTATAAAACGACCTCTGAGAACGGGCAGGTGCTGTTTGCCAGCTGGAGGGACACGTTGCAGCATCGACCAGGACGGAGGAGAGCAGGGGCTCCTCAGACCTGTTTGGGGGGCCGGCCCTCAGCAGGAAGGCATTGGCAGTGGTGTAGCCCCATGAGGGTGCACCCCACATGGCTGAGGGGAAACAGGGACTGACGCGGTGGGAGCTGGGGGCTCAGTCCCCACCCCAGATGGCAGTGAAAAGTCTCGGCTCCCCCGTTGCCCATCTTCCTGGAGGCCGGAACCCAGTCGCCACTGCCACCTCGGAGGAAGCCTGTCCCAACCTGCAACATCCCCATCTACCTTCCAAGTCTTGAGGGTTCTTGCCCACAGCTTCGGGTTTGCCAAGACACCAGGTGCATCTCCCGAGTACCCTGGCCTGGAGCACCAGCCCCCTCAGGTACCTGTTCAGGGCTAAGGCCACTTTGGAGGTTGAAGGAATTCCTGAGGCCGAGTCCCGCTGGTCTCCAGAATCCACATCAAAACACATTCCAGCGAGTGGAACCTTGTGCAGTTGGCACTTCTCTGCCCACATGCAGGTCAGGATGCCTCCTCACCAGCGACTGTGGCCGGAGCATCCATTCCCCAGTCTGGGGTACGCTGAAGCGCTGGTCCTGTTACCATGGTGCGGTGCGCGGTGCAGCCTCAGAGCAGGCCACCCCCTGCGGCTCAAACCCGAGCCCCCAGGTCCCCGCCCCCTCCCAGCTGGGCATAGCCCTCCAGACTGAGGCGATCCAGCCGCGGCCAGCTGCGGTGAGCACAGTCCCGAGTAGCCGGGGCCCCAAGCAGGAGCTCCCCGAGGCCCAGATCCAGAGACTTGGAGTGTTCGATGCAGGAGCCAGAGGGCTGCACGGTGATGATCACATGGCCAGTCTGGGTCCGCGGACCCCAAGGTGGGGGCAGCCCCGGGCCCTTCAGCGGGTAACTGTTGAGCAGGGCAGGTAGCCCTAAGCGAGGATTAGCAGGTTCTGAACGCAGACTCCGCACTGACGGGACAGGTGAGGTGCCCCGACGTGGGGATAGGTCCCAACTTTCTGGTTCCGCGCAGCCTAGGGCTGGGGGAGTCCTTGGGCCGGGGCTGGGGAGCAGAGCAAAGTCCCAGCCGGGGCCGTCGGGGGGCCGGAGCGCCTGAGCCCGCAGTGCCCCCTGGCGAAGCCGTTTGGTCTCCAAGTCGCGGTTTTCGTAGAGCAGCGTGTTGGCGCAGATGAACACGAACAGGCCCACGCCCATGACCACGGGCCCGAGGAGCCGCAGCCGCTCGTGCGGGCCGTGGGCCCGGCCGGCCCCGCGACCCTCGCGTCGCAGCTCGCTCACCGGCGGCGCGCTGGCATTGGCAGCCCGGGGCCCCGGGGCCCCCGCGCGGTGCGGCCAGTAGCCGGCCACCGCGATGCCCATGCCCACCAGGACCACGAGCGCCCCCAGCGCCGCGAACGCCCCCGACGGCGAGCGCAGCCGCAGCCGCGCCCGCACCCGCAGAGGCTCCGGCGGGGAGCGCGGGCGCCGGCGGCGGCCCAGGCGGCGGCCCAGGCGAGAGACGCGGCCCTCGGGGCTCCTCCGGGGCTCCACGCGGTCTCCGGGGCTCCCGGCTGTCATCTCGCCTTCGTCTGCGCGCTCTGCGGGGAGAAGACGGGAGGCAGGGGCTGAACCGACGGGCCTAGTGGCGGAGCGCCGCGTTGGGGACGCGGATCCGGGAGGGAAGATCGGGCTGCCTCGCCCAGGACGCTTGGAGATCCCTGGCGGCCACCCCCGGATTTTCCCGGGCTGCCAGGCAGGGAGCCGCCCCCACTCCGGTTTTCCGCAGCCGTGCTCGGAGCCAGGGCCGCGCGGCAGAAGCCCGAGTTGGCCGGGCCTGCGGGCGGAGAGGAGGGAGGGGGGCGCCCGCGGCTGCCTGGCGCATCCCCGGCTGCAGGGCTCCGACCGCCGACGCCCTCTCCGCCAACCCGCGGTCCCGAGCCCCGGGAGGTGCGGGGGCCCCGCAAACGGTGTCTGCAGGGTAAGTCCCGCCCGGGCGCGACCTCGCCCCCGCACGTGGCAGCGCCGTAGTAAAGGGGGTGGGGGAAGGCAGACCGCCCGGGCCGCCGGAGTCCCTCGCGCGCGGGCCCCTCTTCCCCACGCTGCGCTTTACATACCGCAGCGTAGGAAGGAGGGGGTGTCAGCGACTCCTGACTCTTCCTGCCCGCCCCCTCCTCCTTCCACCCTCCTCACTCGGCAGTGAAGCTGCAGCAGGAGAGACGTGAGCAAGGCTCCAGGAAGACCCCTCCGGCCATGACTAGCGGTAGACTTTGCCCAGGATTTCTTTGAACTCCACTCAAAGAGGCCGCCCCCCCCTCAACCCGCACCGCCGCACCCCGCCCAGCAGCCAGGCTGTGGCCGGCAGGAAGGCAGGGGTTCCGGGGCCAGGCGCAGGCCTTGTCCGCTGGACTCCCCTCCTGGCTCTCCGCTCGGCCCGGACAAGGCTGTTCCCAGGTTGCAACGTTTCCAATTCGGGCTCCTCTGGATGAATCATCCCCCTTTCCCGCCGCCCGGCCTTCTCTGCGGCCTCCTCTGTCCGAGGCCTCAGTGGCCCGGGTCCCGGCCGGTGCAGCACCGCCCCTGCTCCTAGGGCCGCCCCAGGGTCCGGGCGCCGGGCTCCAGTCCCTCCCGCTGCTGGTCCGGCGCGGCCCGGGGACTGGACCCGGGCCGGGGCAGGAGTAACCGGGCTGCGTGTGGTGTGTGGCCCCCAAGGAAGCGAGGGTGTAGGAAGAAATGCCCGCTCAGGCGCCCCGGGCCGCAGGAGAGGGGGGCGAGGACTTTTCTCGACCCCGTGGTGTATCCTCCCAACCCCAATTTGGTTTCTAAACGGCTCCAGCGCTGGAACTCGCCCCAAGGCCCCAGCGGGGAGGCCTTGCTACCCTATCCACTCCCCATCCGCACCCCAGAAGCTCAAAGCAGGACACCCATCCCCGCCCCCGAAAGGAGAGCTGAAAGCCCCGGGCCTAGCACGGAGTAGCAGCGTCCGCCGCGTCCACAGCCTGCTTTTCACAGATGGCAACTGTGGCCGAGCGGAGCCTGAGGCGGTCACGCCGCCATAGGAGGCGGGGGGCTCCACCAGGACCCGACGCCGGGCCTCGGGACCCAGCTCAGCGCTGGGCACTTCTCCGCACAGCCACGGAGGGTCCCGGCAGGGGGCGAGGCCCGTTACCCACTTGTGGCTGAGTGTGAAGCCCTCTCCGCAGCCCCAGGCCGGAGAAGGGACCGTCGCGCCCCGGGTTAGAGCTAGCGCCCCGGCGCCAACTCGAGGGAAGTCACCCCGAGCCCCCGCGCATCCCTGCGGGAGGGAGTCGGAGGCGTCCAGAGAGGTGGGGGCGGGCTCCGAGACCCCGAGGCTCGAGGGTGTGAGTCGACGCTGGGGACCCCCGAGGGGCCAGCACTGGGCGACACGGTCCGAAGGTCCCAGGTCGCGGGAAGTTCTTCGGCGCCAGGTCCCGGGCACTTTGGAATCCGCCTCCGCCCGCGTCCGCGCTTCAGTCCCGGAGAGAGGGAGGACCCGGCTCCCGCCCGCCCGCGTCTTTGCGGAGGGAGGAGCCGAACAGAAAGTTGGGAAAAGTGAGGAACGAACCCCGGGGCCCTGGTTTGCTCACCTGGCACCCGGGTGGGTCCGGGTCTGGGTCCGGGTCCGGGTCCGAGTCCGGGTCCGAGTCCGCTCGCCGCGACTCGCGGCGCCGCCGCGCTCTCCTCGGAGTCCGGGGCCCGGCCCCGCCCCCGCCCCGCCCCGCGCCGCCCGGGCCCCGCCCTCCGGGAGTCCCCGGGCCGCTCGGGGCCGCGCCCCGCCGGGCCCCGCCACTGGAAGAAGCGACAACTCCGGTCTGCGGGTGGCAGGTAGGTGCGGCGTGCACGCGCGGAGACCCGGCCCGAGTCCCCCGCTCAGTCCGCAAAAGCCTGGGAGGGCGCCCTCTCCCCGCGGGAGGGAACCGGCAGCCCCCCGCCCTGCTCCGCGGCCCGAGGGGTCGGAGGCCGCGCTCCGTCCCGCGCCTCCCGGGTGCCCTCGGCCCGGGCGCCGGGGAGGGGACTCGCGGGGGCTCCGAGAGCCCGCTGGCCCCCAGCGCCGTCCCGGGAGCTGCCCGGAGGAGGCGGCCCGCGTTCCTGCTCCGCCAGCTTTTCCGCGGTCCGACCTCACTGCCTTCGCCTGTGAAATGGGCAGAGGGCGTCCGCCGCCCGAGGCGCCGAGGGCGGGGCGCAGAATCGCGGGCGCGGCGGGTCCTCCCTGCGGGCGCTCGGGGACCAGTCGTCGCGGCGGGCGTGGGGGTGCGGGGACTCGGGACGAGCCCAGAACCGAGGGAATCAAATGCGGGGTCGCTCGGCCCCCCACGCCCCCTAAGAAGATGCGTCCGGTCCGGAGGCGGTGGAGGGCGGCGCTCGTCCCGAAGCGGGAGCGGGGCACCGAGGACCGCGGACCGGCCTGAAGGGGGCGACTCCGCTTTCGCGCCCCGCCCGCCCCCAGAGGCAAGAATGTGGCGCAGAGCGCGGGGGTCGGCCGGCGGCCCAGTTTCCATGATGCTGGGGGCGGGCTCAGAGGAGGGGGGCGCGGGGGGCTGCCAGGTTCCGTGCCGCCCCCCCCTCGCTCCCGCAGCCCCGCCGGGCCCCTCGGGAAGAATTTCCGGCCTGGGATTGATTAGAGCGCGCCCCTCCCCCGCCGCCCAGACCCCCCGGCACGCGGGCGCGAGGGGCGGGGTGTGGGAGGTAATGAGACCCGGCTGTGCGCCCCGGGCTGAGACGGGAACTGGAGGACGTCGCCGGCCTGGGCCACGCCACCTCCCAACGCGTGGCAGAGCGGGTCCCGAAGCCTTCAGGGCACAGCTAAGTCTGGAACACCGGCTCCTGCCCTCCGGCTCGGTCGAGAGGAACTGGGGCTGACACTGGCGCTCCCGGGGACCCCCTCTCCCAGCCCCTGGGGACCAGGCATCCTCGGCCACCCGTGGGAGCAGAGCCTCCTCGGGTGGACCGACCTGGAGATCACCGGTGCTCGCAGGAGGCCACCGCGGGTGGGGCTGAGCCCAGTCTCCAGGGTTGCCCTCTGCGGCCAGGTCCTCCTGCAGCCCACGTGGGACTGGGGGCTCCATTGGCCTGAGCTGGGAAGAGAATGCCCTCAGCTCTCCGCCTGGGCTGCTGTTTTCGCCCCATCGAGGCAGCAGCCTCCTTCCTGCCTCCTCCCGCCTCCCGACACCTCCTTTGCTTGAGACCCTCAAATGGACCGGGTATTTCACCCACCCGATGCACATTGACTCACTGCACTCTGCCCTCCGCCCTCACAGATTCCTTCCTCCTGCTCCCTCAGTCACTGCTCTTCCCGGGGACATCAACTCTGGAGGCCAGGCCTGGACTGCCTGGCTGTCCTCGTGTTTCCCACTTGTTTTTCCTGCCTGTCCCTCCTGGCTTCACCCCCTCCCTGGCCCCCTCTCCCCGCCCCCCCCCCCCCGAGTTGAGGCTCCTCCATCCCGGGCCCACAAGCCCAGCCTCACTACTAGCCAGACAACCTTCCGGGAAGTCTCCCTGGACCCAGTAACCCTTGGCCATTCCTGTCCCTCCTGTTCACCTTCGGTGAAGAGCCCCACTGCCCCCACCTCCGAGGCTAGCTACAACAGGGGTCACCTGCAGCTCCTTCCTCTTCCCCTTGCATTAAGTTCCCAGACCCTGTCCTTTTGATCTGGAATTAGCCACCTTCTCCCTGCCCCAGGGAGCTAGCTGTCCTGCAGGCAGGCTGTGCAGAGGGACACTGAGTATCTCTACCCTGAATCTGAACCCACCTCTCACTCCCTGCTTAAAACCCTCAGTGGCTCCCCATTGTGGTCCAAGTGGAATTTAAAATCCCTTCTCACTTCCACAAACTGGCCCCTGCCCCTCTCACACGTGCCCTTCCTGGGCAGCGGGACTTGTTTCCACCCTCCGATCTATGCTCTGATGTCCCCTGATTGTTCCTTTGGCTCCTGCTCATCCCTCAGACCCTCTCTGGCCCCTAGGCCAGGCCAGCCCCTCCATCACACACCCTGGCGGTGCTCAGGCACACCGAGGTCCACTTCCTTTGGAAGTTGGAAACTAAATCCGCTTCCCATCTGTGCCGCCCTGCCCTGAGCTGGAAGGGGCAGGAGTGGATCTGGCTTGCTCAGCCCTGGAGTCCAGTGCCCAGCGGAGTGCCTGCCCACAACTGGCCCTAGACTGGCCTGTGTCTCCCCCACCCCCAGGCCCCTTCCTACTCTCTCTCCCTCCCTTAGCCCCACGCAGATAGCAGGAGAGAAGACTCGGCTGTCTGCATCTGTTTCCCCATCTGTCAAAAAAAAAAAAAAGTGATGGGGAGATAATATTTAACTCCCAGCGTTGTTTTGAAGATTACATAAGAATACTCATATTCAGTCCTGGCCAGGTGGTTCAGTTTTTTTTAGTTAAGTCCTGTGCACCAAAATGTTGCAGGTTCGATCCTTGGTCAGGGCACATCCCTAGGTTGTGGGTTTGATCCCCAGTCGGGTGCATATAGGAGGCAACCAGTGGGTGCTGCGCACTCCCCCCTGCCACCCCCAGCCTCTCTCTAAAATCAGCACATCCTCAGGTGATGATTATAAAAATGCACATGTCCAACATCCGGCACAAAGTGGACAGGTGTCCGCCAAACAGCGGCTCCCTCCTCTGACCTCCAGGCCTCAGGCTCAGGGAGTAGTGTTTAGGGCTGTAGAAACCTTCCCTGGGCCTGTTCTGGGTGGTGGGGGGAGAGAAGAGTCCCCTTCCCTCTGTATAACCTCCTTTAACTTCCTCGAGAGCTCTAGGGAGTCCATGTTAAGCCCGGTTTCCAGAGGAGGAAACTGGCTCAGAGAGGCAGACCGGCCGCCCACAGACACACAGCCAGACCGAGCAGTGCCTTCCCACTCTGAGAGGGATGCCCACTGGGCCTGCTTGTGTGGGCCGCAGTCACCTCACTGTTGGGACACCGATTGCCTCCTGAATCCGTGCTGGCCTCTGTGTGACCTGGACTCTCACTTCTGAAGGAGGGGCCTGGGCGCGTCGTGCCCCGGGGACCAAGGTGGTCAGTGTTTCTCCCTACGCTTCTCTGTGAAAGCAGGGATCCAGGCACAGTGACCCTTGTGTCCCTCCTTACCTGAGGCTCCATGTCCTCTCCGGGAGCCACCATGGGGAGGGAGCGTCTGTCATCTGCATGTCTCCACCTCACCTGGGGCATGGAACAAGCGGCACTGGTCTGGAAATTCACCTTCTCTCGCCTCTACTTTAGGAACAACCTGGCTGGTCCTGGGCTTCCTGCCAGAACCCCAGGGGTTTCTAAAACCATCCCATGTCAGGGCTGCCCTGGTAGTGCTCGGGACACAGCCCTGTGCCCAAACGGCCCCACCAGAGCGACCACACACTCAGCTGAGAACTGAGATGCTGGCTCAGGGGGCAGAGCGTGGCTGGGTCCCAGTTCGGATTATGCTGCTCAGTCATTCCCCTAGGTGACCTGGGGCATGTCACGGCATTCCCTCACAGCTTCTGCCTCTGCAGTTTGTCCTGCACCGGCAGGACTGGTGTGCTGATTCAGAAAGTGATTGGCAAGGAGAATCCAGAACCCCATTTCGAATGCTTTCTTTTCTGGGGGCAGATACCAGTGTGTAGCGACCTGACCGGGTTGACCTGGCTAGTGGCATTTCCCATTGCGTGTCAGGGTCACAAGAGTTCCCCATAGTTACCAGGTCCCATCCAAGGTTCAGGCCCTCGGAGGATTCTGAGATGTGAACGTTAAATCCGTGCCCCACCCCGTGGAAGCTCTGAGCTGGGCCACTGGGCTTCTCACCTGGTGTCTCTGGGCCATGGCAAAGCCCTTCAGGAGGATGAGTCCCTGTCTCCATTGTTCTCCCCAGCCCAGAAAAGAGAAGAAGGCAGAGGCTGGGTGACACTGGGAAAGTCAAGGAGATGAGACCCTCCTGGGGGACAGGGCAAGGCCAGCCTCCTGCCCCCGATCCCTAGGCTGAGGGACAGCAGTGGGAATGTCCAGGTCTGGTCGAACTCTATTGACCACCAAGCCCTTTATATCTGTTACCTTCCTAAGTGTGCACGGCCACCCTGAACATGAGGTGCCGCTATCATGTGTGTCACACATGCGGGATGGAGCTTCCCCCTGTTTAGGCCTGTGGGGACTATCTCTCCATCTACCTATTGGTCACCCTCTCCTGTAGAGAACAGCTCTCAGATCACATGGTCTAGTTTCTCCCACCCCTTCGCTGCCAACCCTGTACTGGTCCCAGTCCTGTCTGTAACATGGGATCAAATGCCAGCTTCCAGAGGTCTGAATAAAGTCCTTTGTAAACATAAAGACTAAAGAGGCCCAGAGAGGGTGGCTGGCATGCCCAAAGTCACACAGCTTGTGATGGGTCAGTTCACTCTTCCCCATCTAAGTGAGGCAGGACTCTAGTTCCAGGGAGTAACCCCCTGCCTCCCAGCAGTGCCCAGAGTTTAGGACCCAGGCCCCGAGGCCAGGGCAGCAGAAGTATGCCCAAGACACAGCAATGGAAACGTAGAGCTTCTAGACTCAGAGACGTCTGGACACCAAAGGCAGGCGGAGTCACTGCCAGGGTCGGCCTGGCGCCACCTGGAGGCGAGGCTCTGAACCTGCGCCGCCGGGCTCTTTTTCCTCTGCGCGGAGGCCCGCACTGCCCACCTGGGGCCCACGCCTGCCCGCCTCTCCCTTCGGGCCCGG